CCTCCCCTCTCTTCGTTCTCCTCCTTCTGTCCCTCGGACTCCTGGCTCTCCGGGTCCCTCTTGCCGCTTTGTTCCCGGGTCGGCCGGGGCTGGGCTTGGCTGCGGGGAGCTGCGCGGCGCTGGAGGGGCATTCCGAGGGGCGGGGGAGCCCGCCGACCCCAGGCACTGCCAGCAGCACCCTCCCCCGGTGCGGGTCGCGGGTTTGGAGGAGGCGGAGGAGGAGGAGGAGGAGTGCCCTCCGGCTGGGGCTTGGGACTTAGGAGGAATGAGGGGTTCCCCACCTGGGCCCCAGGCCTGCACGAGTCTCGGGCCACAAGATTCTGGCAGCAAAATCACCGCCACCGAGGAACTGACTTAAGGTTTTTTGCGGGAAGTCCAGGGTCTGGGTTTTTCAGGTTCAGGCTCGGGAGGCAGTTGGCTAGCAGTGTCCAAGCCCTGTCCTCATCTCTACCCAGCTGCTCCCTCACGCCAGCAGCAGCAAGGAAGGGTTAGCAACAGGTGCTGTAGAACTTCCTATCCGACAGGTAGACCTCCCCCAGAAAATGAGGGCCATAAGCTCCCCCACTCCACCCTCTCAGGAGAGCTGGGATGTTCGCTTACTGGAGTGGAGCCCAGGCAGTGAGGAGTCTGAGGACAGACACCTTGGACGGGAGTGACCCCTGCCCGTCTGCCCGGGCCACTCTTCCAGGCCCTACCTCCTGGCCCCGCCTATCGTCTGTGGGTGTCAGAGCCTGGGGCTGTGGAGAATGGGCTGCTGGCCCTGCTTACCCCAGTGTCTCCAGCTGCCAGGGCCCCTCCTGCCCAAGGTTGAGGTGCTTGCTACTCGGTGCTCAGCCCCTCCCTCCTGCAACGCCACCCCTCTCCCCTTTGCGTATAACTTCTCTCAATCAAGTACAGCAGCTTCCTCCCCTCCCTGAGTGCCTCAGACCCTCCATGACTCCCAGGGCAGCCATAGTAACTTGGGGCTCTCTAAAGGTCCTGTTTTATTCCTCTTGTGTCCTGTTTCCTGGCTGTGACCCAGCTTTTCAACAGAGGACCTGTGTGTACCTTTTCCAGACCCCCAGGACTTGTCCGAGGTTGCTGCCTCATGCCAGAGGGAATGGTGACTGCTCTCTGGATGGGCATTGGAGCTTCCGAGCTAACCCAGGAAAATTGGCGGGCCCAGTTGCAGCCCATCCCAAGGCCGTCGGAAGCTGCAGGCTGATCTTAGTCCAGATTTCCAGTCTCCACCCCCTAGAGACTGGCTTTCCTGCCGGTGGTGACAGCTCCTGGAGCACCTTGAGGGACTATATCTCTGCCTGACAAGCAGCCCATTGCCTGGGCCACCAGACTTGTTCCCCCAGGACCAGGAGTCCCCCGAAGCACTGAGGCATGGTGAACTGACGCTCTGTTGGAGCAGCGTTTTGCTTCTTCCTGGACTCTGAATCCCAGAGCCCGGCGCAGTAGTCAGAATGGGTCGTGAACAGGACCTGATCCTTGCTGTCAAGAACGGAGATGTGACCTGTGTGCAGAAACTGGTGGCTAAAGTGAAGGCTGCAAAAACAAGTGAGTCCTTGGTGAGGTGACCATCCAGCTGAGGCTGTTCTCTGAGTACTGAGGCTACAGAGAGAAGCTCAGAGGGGGAGGGGGAGGGGAGGGTCACTTCAATTTGCAGACTTGAGAAAGAAGGACTGTGCTGTTGTAGACAAGAAGTGCTTCAGTGTAAGACAGCCAGAGAGGAAAATGGGTCCCTTCTTGCTCTGTGTCTCCAGGCAAGTCACTTAACAGCTCTGAGCCGTGGGATCCTGGCCTGCAAAGTGAGCATATTGAAGTACATTCGGTTTGTGTTTTTGTTGTTTGTTGTGTGCCAGGCTCTATTCTAAGATCTGGACCAAGCTTCTAGCCCAAGAGAGGTTGCCTGTTGGTATCTGGCTTTTCAGATGTGTCCTTTGGCTCCATGGGACTTGATTATGGGGTGGGAAAGGCTGAATAGAGGGCCAAGACCACCCCTAAACCCATCCACATACAACTATAGCTTCCCGGTGTCCTGTGTTTGTCTTGTAAAACCTCTTTGGAAACAGCTGTTAGTGTTGCTGGTTGGTTGGTTTGGGGCTGTCTCTGTCAGGTTTGGAACCCAGGACTTCACACTTGGCACACAAGTACCTTATCACAGTCACCAAATTCCCAGAGAGCAGTTTCCCAGGGACTAACAACAACGTGTGAGATAAAGGTCCTTTCTCCCTAGATCACCTGTCTGTGTTCCTTGGGAGTATGTGGCCGATGCTAATTTTCTAGCTGTTTCCACAGCACTTGAGGACTCTATCCCTGACAGGGCAGTCAGGGCTGGATGCTGGGCTTCTGGACCCTGGGTTCTTCCAGACCATGAGGCTTATCTCCTCCAGGACTTAAATCAGTGGGTATTTATTCCTGCTCCTCTGGGGCTAGAGAAAGTGTACCCTGAGGGGAGGGTCTCTGCTGTAGCACTGGGGCTTTAACCCCAAGACACACCTGGATCTGGTACACAGGAAGGAATCCCCAGGCTACTTGGAGATGTCTTATTATTCCCGCCCACGCCTTGGGGTGTTGGTGCCAAAAGGAAAGACGTTAATGGCGTGCACCCACCTGCACAGCAGGGTGGAGACCCAGCCATGAGGTGGAGCTGTGCCCCTAGGTCCTTTTATCCTGGGGACACCATGAGGGTGAACAAGATAGAAGGAAGGTGCCGAATTGATCCCCAGGAGAGGGCCTGAAGGGCTAAGTAGAAGCAACTCTCCTCCCCCTCACCTCTGTTGCTTTTGGCCACCTGCCCAGTGGGGCCTTGGTCACACTGCTGCTGGCCTCAGCCCTGGCTGCCTTAGAGAGGGAGGCCCATTGGAGGGCAGTAGGAGGGTTGGCTGGTGGCGGGAACCTCACAACTAGGCATGTGGGCTCCAAAAAATGTTCTCTCTGTCCCGTGGCAAAGTCTAGGGGATGAAGTTCCTTCCCTCCATCCATGGTGTGGATTCCCTCACCTATACAACACACAGGTGCAGACACTGGTGACAGGCCTGAGCCTCCTTATTAAGTCCCTGCCCCAGGTCTCCCTTCTTTGTCCTCTGAGAAGCCAGAGAAGCTGGTGACAAAAATGAGATCACAGGTGACCTTTGTAAACCTGGGAGTTTATGAAATAGTGTAACCCCCTTGCTTCCTGTCAGGTAGGTATTTCTGTATCCATTACACAGATAAGGAAAGTGACACTCAAAGGTTAGTGACTTGCCCAAGGTCACATAGCCCTGGGGTCAGATGAGAGATAAGCCTGTGTGCTTTCCTTTGTGTTCCCACAGTGATCACTAATTTCTGTCAGTGTCACCTAGGGGTGTTGTAAGCGCCTAGAGTCCCCCAGGTTAAAGTTACGCTAAAGAGCCTGCGATTCCGTGGATGATAAAGTTTAGTTGATTGCAATGCAGTTCTTCCAGAGGGATGAAGGGCCCCCGTACCAACGCAAACCACTGAACACCAGTCATCAGGGCGCCCCCTTTCCTCTTGCTGCACTGACTGGAAGCCCCTAGCTGATATTTCCAGGTCCTCTTCAGGACCAGGCTGCTGGGAGGGGGCCGTTGCATGGGCCTTGCCCCTTCCCTCGCCCCGCCCCATCTCCTTTCTCTGAGGTCTCCTTTCTTGGCTAGAGGAAATGGATGGGCTGGGATGACTAGCTGAACTCACATCCTTTGCTTGGGCCTGAGACAGGGGTGACCCTTCCAGCCCCAGGGCCAGGCTGAGGAAGAAGGTTATGCCACAGTGGAAGTGACTGGAGCCACCACCCGGAACCAGGACCCTCCGCCCTCCTGCCAGGGTCCCAAGCCCAGTTTCTCTGGGCCTCTCCTCCACCACCTTTCCGGCTATTGTTCTGGAAAGAACAGAGCCACCTATCTGGCCCTGCCCCTGTTCCTGTGTCCCTCCTGTCACATTGTCTGCCCCTCCCTAGAGTGGACACATCCAGCCACCTAGCTGCCCCATCCTAGACAGGCTAGTGAAGGGAGGGCTCTATGAAGGACTCTTGTTCTCTTCTCTTGGGACCTTGTCTTCACTGCGACATAAAGAGGCACCTTGGCGGCCAAAGTTGCAAGGCTGTGCACTTCCTGCTTCTGTAGCTCCTGTTCTTTCCCCTACTGACCCCCTGCAAAGGTTCTGTCTTACAAGAACTGTCAGAGGACGTGAGAAGAAGGCTGGCAGGCCTGTGCTAACTCCCAGCAGCCCCCACACATTCTCTCTCCTGCCCCTTCTTGGTTCTGTATTTACCTTTTTAGTGTAGTCCTTCAGCCCCTCCTCATGTGTATCTGTCTCCTCCCTCCCTGTCCCTCACTTCCCTCCCTGGTGGAATGAGCCCCAGCCTTTCCCAGGCTGCTGGGGTATTTGGGCCTGGGGGGCAGGCCTGGACCAGCATGTTTGGCACCCTTCCCAGCCTGGGCTAAGCCAGGCCCACTCCTTCCAAGCAGGGTGGGTTCCAGCAGGATGCAGGGGCTCCCTGTGACAAGGCCTCTCCTTTCCCGGCACCTCAAGGACCTCCCTAGCATGGTCTGCATGCCGCTGGGCTCTCCCCTGCATGTGTCCTGTCCCAGGAGGCAGGGCCCACCAAGTCAAAGTTTATGGGCATCGAGTTGGCAGGTGTTCCCCAAGCAGACAGAGAGGCACGGAAATGCCAGAAGACAGTTTGGGTATGGTGCCCCAGTGTCATGGCCAACATGTAAGGAGCACTATACTGTGGTGGTTGTCATCATTCATGTGCTTACAAGGGACAAACACTGTCCTGACAACTTCTGGGAACAGATTCTATGATCAACCTATTTTTGTGGAGACCAAGTCCTGTAGGTTAAATGGCCTGCCCAAATTGGCAGGGCTGGCACATGGAACTGGGCTGGTGTCAGTATATTCTATATGGCCCTGCCCACCGGGCCCTACTCAGGGATGCTTGGAGCCGAGTCTTGTCAACAACTTTCTCTGTGCCCTTGGATCCTTACGGCCCCCTCCATTCCTTCAATGCCTGCTCCCCTTGGCCCAATAGGACAATATGACTCTCCCTAACCCATTCAGGCAGGAATGCCAACCATGCACCCCGTGGGCCTGTCCTATTGAAGGCATGTCATGCCAATACCCCTTCCCGCCCCCTTTGGCTTCTATAAACAAGCTGGGCAGGGGCTCTAGAGAACCCAGGCTGCTGCTACAGTGGCTTCCTGTACTCATCGCCCTTGGGCCATAGGGACAGGACCTGTACAAGGCCATGGGCCAGGTGCTCTTCTGTACTCCGAAAGGTCGGTTGGGTCCTTGGATGTGGGTGGTGGGAGTGCCAGGTGAGGGCAGGGTATGGACACAGACGATGGTGCCATGTGCCCTGATGTCCCCTCCCCTGACCCTCCAGAGCTCCTCGGCTCCACGAAGAGACTCAACATCAACTACCAGGATGCCGATGGGTGAGTGCTGCCTGGGGAAGAGTGGGGCCCTGGGATTGGGTGAGAGGAAAAGGCCCTGGAACCCACAGTCCCCTCCCTCAGACTAGGCCCTTGAAGTGTGTTTGCCGAGAGCCCTGGATCCTGCCTGTGTAGGGCCAGAGGGAGGGGGTCCTGCCCACCCACCTGCCTGTGGAGTTAGCCCTGAGCAAGAGGAGGGGCCCCCTTGGGTCAGATTCTTCCAGGGCCCCTTTTCTCCCTGGAGGGTAGGAGCCCTCAGGCTGCTGCTCCCACGGCCCCCTCCTCTGGGCAGGCTGGGTGGGGGATGTTAGACAAATGGGCCTCTCAGGCAAGACACTGAGCCCTTTCATGCTGTGGCCCCGCTGCTGTGCGCTCCCACGGCAGGGCTGGCAGGCACAGGGGGGCAAGTAACCCATCACTGCCGGCCCCCAGAATGAGCTTGGGGTGGGAGACTCTTCACTGACACCCCCCTGTTTTGTGTCCCCCATGCCAGATTCTCTGCTCTCCACCATGCTGCCTTGGGGGGCAGCCTGGAGCTCATAGCCTTATTGCTGGAGGCTCAAGCCACTGTCGACATCAAAGACAGCAATGGTGAGAGCCCAATGTATGGCACCATGTGGGAAAGGCAGGTCTCCACTGCAGCCCTGGGGACCAGAGCTCGCTCCTGTTTGAACATACTGAGGGGTGTGTGGATTCCTTCTGGAGAGAGTGTGTAATTCAGATCTCCTGTTAATTAGACAAGGAAGCTCAGGGACGTTATAGTCCTGTCCTGGGTTTGTAGATCATCTGTGGTGGGCACAGGGAGCACTCTGACTTCAGCCCCACTTAGGACCTTTTTCTGACCACACCCGGATGAAGCTAGCATTGCTGTGTGGAGCTCTTCCCTTCCAGCCAGGGCGGCTCCATTCTCCATTTAGATCCCCTTGACCCTGCTTAGGATCTCTTTTTCCCCCTGCCAGGCATGCGTCCCCTACACTATGCAGCCTGGCAGGGCCGGCTGGAGCCTGTGAGGCTGCTCCTTCGGGCTTCTGCGGCTGTCAATGCTGCCTCGCTGGACGGCCAGATCCCTCTGCACCTGGCTGCACAGTATGGGCATTATGAGGTGGTAAGTGAGCCAGCCTGAGGGGGTGTGGGGGCAAGGAGCCAGGCAGGGGCCTGCCTCTAGCAGCCTTCCTGACTTGGCTTCCCCATCCCAGTCAGAAATGCTTCTCCAGCACCAGTCTAACCCATGCCTAGTCAACAAGTTGAAGAAGACACCCCTAGACCTAGCCTGTGAATTTGGACGGCTCAAGGTGAGGTCTATACCCCCAGGGTGTTGGGTGCTGGGTGCTGGGTGCTGGATTCTGTTTAGTCTGAGGAGGAGGCTACAACTGGGTACCGCACACTGTAGGTGGCCCAGCTGCTCTTGAACAGCCACTTATGTGTGGCACTGCTGGAGGGAGAAGCAAAGGACCCGTGTGACCCCAACTACACCACACCCCTGCACTTGGCTGCCAAGAATGGCCACAGAGAAGTCATCAGGTACCCCAGGGGACCCACCCACTTCCTCAACCTCTTCCTGTGGGACCATTAGTTTCTAAGCAATGCCTCCCGCTGCTTTTATTATTATCGTGTATATGCATGTGTTCTGGGGTCGTGGGGAGGGGCTATGTGCACGTGAGTGTAATTACCTGCAAGAGACCATAGAGCGGAGTTCCAGGTGTTATGAGCTGCTGGTTGCTGGGAATTGAACCGGGGCTCTCTGAGAGCAGCACACCTTAACCACTGAGTGGTCTCTCCAGTCCTCTGCTGCTGTTTCCATTCTTGGTTTTAATGCCACAGTCCCCACACCCCTGGCAATCAGCTTCTGCCCCTACCCAGCCTCCTCACACCCCTGCCCGCCACAGGCAGCTCTTGAAAGCTGGTATTGAGATCAACCGTCAGACCAAGACAGGCACCGCCCTCCATGAGGCTGCGTTATACGGCAAAACCGAGGTGGTGCGGCTGCTCCTAGAGGTGGGTATGGGCACAAAGAGTCTACCGCTATGTGCTGAGGGCAGCTGGGAAGCCCATGATGTTTTGTGGGGCTCGGGGAAAAGGTCTCACTTCCTCTGAGCGGTGCTAAAGGCTGGAGAGCAGACCCGACGGATTAGACACCAAGTCTGTCTCTTAGTAGCTCGTGCTTAACCTGGTGTCTGAAACGTCTCATCTCTAAGACCTGACATTCATAAATAGCACCTACCTCCTGGGTAGTTGGGGGGACTAGAGAAGAAATGTCAAGCAAAGTGCTTGGGATATACTCTTGTGATACTGTGAACCCCAGGGAGGTGTGGACGTGAATATCCGGAACACATACAACCAGACGGCCCTGGACATAGTGAATCAGTTCACCACCTCCCAGGCCAGCCGGGAAATCAAGCAGCTACTTCGGGGTGAGTGGGAGGGAGAAAACCTGGGGAGGAGGAACGGGGCTGGGGGAGGGGATTGGGGCCGGGAGCTTTACCTTGGGTACCAGGGTGTGGTGGCAGAGTCAGCAGGGGACACCCATAATGGACACCCGCCCTACCCATTCTCTTAGAGGCTTCAATGATCTTGAAGGTTCGAGCACTTAAGGATTTCTGGAACCTTCACGACCCCACCGCTCTCAATGTCCGGGCAGGAGATGTCATCACGGTGAGGGGCCCATACATCCTTTATAACACAAGCAATTGCTGTGACTTACTTGGGCATCTGCTGTGGAAATAGGCCAAGTTAAATCCTTATATACTCTTTCATATAATCCTTTTTAAATCTGGGGAACATTGGTACCATTTTCTTTTTAGATGGCAAATTTGAGGCTTAGAGAAACTAAATGGACTTGTCCAGGTCACATATCTAGCAAGTGGTAGAGCTAGGAATAAGAATATCATTGTTTGTACCCCCTGTGGTACAAGGAGATGTGCGGGGAAGAGCTGGACCAGGCCCTCTGGACCAGGCTTACAGAGACAGCCACTGCCACTTGCTTGGTATAGGGGCTGTCCTTTCCACCCACACCCTGTCACAACAGGTGCTTGAACAGCATCCCGATGGCCGCTGGAAGGGCCACATCCATGAGAGCCAAAGAGGCACAGACCGCGTAGGCTACTTCCCCCCGGGCATCGTTGAGGTGGTCAGCAAGCGGGCGGGCATACCTGTGGCCCGTCTCCCCTCTGCACCTACCCTGCTGCGGCCAAGCTTCTCCCGGATGTCACAGCCCTCTCCTGATGATCCCCTGCAGTCTCTCACCTATGGCCAGCTCTCTCGGGTGGGCCTCAGCCCAGACAGTCCAGGTACATTCTCCCAGGAGGCAGTGCGGGGCACTGGGCGCTGGCAAGTTGCCGGTCAGCTGTTAGCCATGCCACCTCTGACCTTCATGCTTCTTTCTGCCCCCTGCAGCAGGTGACAGGAATAGCGTGGGCAGTGAGGGTAGCGTAGGCAGCATCCGCAGTGCTGGCAGTGGGCAGAGTTCTGAAGGCACCAATGGCCACAGCACTGGCCTCCTGATTGAGAATGCTCAGGTAGGAGGGAGGACACCTGGGCCTGGTCAGGGCCTGCCCATTGCCTGTTTTCCATGTACGGAGTAGGCTTTTTCTATCTCTAGCCACTGCCCTCTGCCAGTGAGGACCAGGTACTGTCGGGTCTGCACGCCCCATCCCTGGCAGGTAAGAAGGGTAAATGGGACTGGTATTGGCCACGCCCCTTCCCACCACTTCTGATGCCGGTTCTCTCCTTCCTTGAAGACAACCTGAGCCACCGCCCTCTGGCCAGTTACCGCTCCGGGGAGACCTTCACTCAGGATGTGAGGCCGGAGCAGCTGCTGGAGGGGAAGGTGAGGCTTCTACCAGGAAGCGTGCTTCAGGCCTTGGCAGGGTTGAAGGCTTTAGTGTCCACTTAGACCTGGCCCTGGGTTCTCAGACGACTTCTCCATCCCTCACTCCATGCTCCAGGATGCACAGGCCATTCATAACTGGTTAAGTGAGTTCCAGCTGGAGGGCTACACTGCCCACTTCCTGCAGGCTGGCTATGATGTGCCAACCATCAGTCGAATGACACCCGAGGTAAGTCCTGTAGCAGGTGTAGGGAGGGCCCAGCAGGCAGAGGAGGGTCCTGATGTCCATGCCCTGTGTGACAGGACCTGACGGCCATTGGGGTGACCAAACCTGGGCACCGGAAGAAGATCGCCTCAGAGATTGCCCAGCTCAGCATTGCCGAGTGGCTACCCAACTATATCCCGGTGAGCAGGTGGACGGGGTGGGGCCTTTGGCTCTTGCCCAAGGCTGTGGCCTTGGGAAGGGGCAAGCTTCCTTTCTAGCTTGGGGAGAGCCAGGTTTTGATGGTGGCACTCTTCCAGGTGGACTTGCTGGAGTGGCTGTGTGCACTGGGGCTGCCACAGTATCACAAACAGCTGGTGAGCAGTGGCTACGACTCCATGGGGCTGGTGGCCGATCTCACCTGGGAGGAGCTGCAGGAGATAGGCGTGAACAAGCTGGGTGAGGACTACTTTGAGGCCTCCTGGCAGCCCCTGGCCTCAATCCAGCATCTCTGAGAGAAGGGAAAGGGGGGTCTATCCAGGGCAAACGGGACAGCCCTGGAACCAGCTAACCCATCTGCTTCTGTCTACCCTTCCAGGGCATCAGAAGAAACTCATGCTTGGTGTGAGGCGACTGGCAGAACTTCGGCGCGGCCTGCTGCATGGGGAGGCCCTGGGTGAGGGCGGACGCCGGCTGACCAGGGGTCCAGAGCTGATGGCCATTGAAGGCCTGGAGAATGGAGAAGGTCCAGCTGTGTCTGGCCCTCGCCTCCTCACCTTTCAGGGCAGTGAGCTGAGCCCAGAGCTACAGGCAGCTATGGCAGGAGGCGGCCCAGAACCACTCCCCATCCCCCCTGCTCGTTCTCCCAGCCAGGAGAGCATTGGTGCCCGCTCACGGGGATCTGGGCACTCACAGGAGCAGCCTGTCTCCCAGCCCAGTATTGGTGACCCCAGTGCCCCGCAGGAGAGGAACCTTCCAGAGGGTACAGAGCGCCCCTCTAAGCTTTGCCCCCCACTCCCTGGCCAAGGGCCTGCCCCTTATGTCTTTATGTGTCCTCAGAGCTCACCCTCTAGCCCAGCCCCAGGGCCGCCCCCTGGTGCTCCTCGGGCCTTCTCCTACTTGGCTGGCTCGCCTGCCGCTCCTCCAGACCCACCTCGGCCCAAACGCCGGTCACACAGCCTGAGCCGCCCGGGCCCTGCTGAGGGGGAAGCTGAAGGGGAGGCTGAAGGACCAGTGGGTAGTGCCTTGGGCAGTTATGCCACCCTTACTCGGAGACCAGGACGCTGCACCCTTTCCCGGACTAGCCCTAGCCTGACCCCAATTCGAGGGACCCCCCGAAGCCAGTCCTTTGCCCTCCGTGCCCGTCGTAAAGGTCCCCCACCCCCACCCCCCAAGCGCCTCAGTTCGGTCTCTGGCCCCACCGAGCCACCTTCACTGGAGGGAAGCCCAGGACCCAAGGAAGGGGCCACAGGTTCCCGGAGAAGAACACTGAGTGAACCAACTGGCCCCTCGGAGCCCCCTGGCCCCTCTGCCCCAACTGGCCCTGTGTCGGACACAGAAGAGGAGGAGCCTGGGCCTGAGGGGACTCCCCCATCTCGGGGCAGCTCCGGAGAAGGGCTGCCATTCGCAGAGGAAGGGAACCTGACTATCAAGCAGCGTCCAAAGCCAGCTGGTCCCCCACCCCGGGAGACACCTGTACTGCCTGGCCTTGACTTCAACCTCACAGAGTCAGATACTGTCAAACGGAGGCCCAAATGTAAAGAGAGAGAGCCACTCCAGACCGCGCTGCTGGCCTTTGGGGTAGTGGGTGGTGACACTCCTAGCCCCTCCCCTCCCCTGGCCTCCCAGGACCCCTGTGAATCTCCTCCAACTTCCCCTAACCCTCCACGGTCTGAGCCTAGCAGTCTTCCACCTCAAGGGACTCCAGCCCCAAGTCTCAGCCCCAAGTCTCAGCCCCCCGGCCACCAAGGAACCTCTGTAGGGCCAGCTCTGGCAACAGGCAATCGGCTGGGTGCGGAGACGGAGCCTCCAGCTGCCCCTGCTGCCCTCCTCAAAGTGCCTGGAGCAGGTAACAAGTGAGAGGCCTGTGGAGGGAAGGCTGCTGTGTGCAGGGTCACATCTAGCCAAGTCACAGGGCAGGTCACCTTTGTCTCTGCAGGAACAACTCCCAAGCCTGTGTCTGTGGCCTGTACTCAGCTGGTATTTTCTGGCCCAAAGCTGGCTGCCCGGCTCGGCCCCCGCCCGGTTCCCCCTCCAAGGCCTGAAAGTACTGGGCCTGTGTGTCCAGGCCGGGCCCAACAGAGACTGGAGCAAACCAGCTCATCCTTGGCGGCTGCACTGAGAGCAGCTGAGAAGAGCATTGGCACGGAGGAGCAGGAGGGGTGAGCTGGGTGCTGGGTGCTTGGGGGTGGGGCTGGGCTTGGGAGCGTTGGGAGGAGACGCTGCAGGCAGAGTCTGGGGCTATCGAGGCCTCTAGTGGGATGGATGTCAGGGCCTAGTAGTTTTAGGTTCCTGGTGACTGTTACTTACACATTCCTTTGTCCATGAGCCTCTAAACTCACCTGTAAGGGAAGGGTGGTAACTGCTGCTACTGGGAGGTTGCAAACAGTAAGAGGTAAGGTACAAAGCGGCATCAAGCAGCAGACCCACGGCCCGTCTCATTAAGGCTTTCCCTTGATGCAACAGTCCCACAGCGGCCTCCACCAAGCACATTCTGGACGACATCAGCACCATGTTTGATGCTCTGGCTGACCAGCTGGACGCCATGCTGGACTGAGCAAGGCTGGCTTGTGACCCTCCCTCCCTCCTGTGGTACCACCAGTGGCCCAACATGGAAGACTACCCTGCCACCCCAACATGGAAGACTACCCTGCCACCCCAGGAACAGGAAGAGGGTTGGTTGGGCTGGAGTACCTATCCTTCCACAGCAGAGACCTTCCTAGACTTTAAGCAGTAGCTGTCAGACCCCCAAGGGGGCTGAGAAGACTTGTCAGAACCTGACTGAGGGGCCTCAGCTGTGTGGGAGCAAAGCCCCTCCCGTGTACAGCTGACTGCTCAGCTTTGGCCCCTGAACAGGGACCCTGGTAAGAGCATTCTCCTCTGGGAGGAGGTGGCAGCAGGGCTTTGTGGATCCATCTCCCTACCTGTGTCTGACTTCTCAGTGCTTAAGGGAATTCTTCTGGCCACCCACTGAGCTGCTCTAGGGCTCTGTGAGGCTGTGAGGAGGCTGCCCTACTTGCCTGGTCCCCTCCGTGCAAGTGTACATAGGACTTGTAAATACACAGCAGGGGCTTGCCTTCCTGCCAGTGGCCATGGCCTTGTCACCTCCTAACCCTGTCTGGACATCCCACACGGGAGGCAGTGCGACTAACAGATCCCCAGTGCCCAAACCTTTACAACTGTATATAATATTTTTGAAGCAGAGAGAAATGCATATATTTTAAATGGAATTTATTCTATCTATTAACTGCCTGAGAGAATGCAGTAGGGAATGCCTTCAGACCACAGACGAACCCTCTGCCCACCTCCTGCCGGAGGACCCAGCTGGTTCAGTCCCAGGCTCTGTAACTATTAACCTCCCGAACTAACACCAATGAAGTGTCATTCCACGTGACTGGGCTGTGTTTGCGTTGGTGCGTCAGAGACCAAATCTGGGACTGTCCTTTCACCGGCACCTGTGGGCACTCGCCCGTGTGGAGGGGGACGGCTGCAGTCTTGGGAGGGGAACCTCTCATGGTTGTTTCATGGATCCGCCACAGGTTTTTCTTAAGCAATTTACAATTTTAATATAAACCAGTTGACATTCATTCCCAAAAGGCTCATTTCCAGTAAAAAAAAAAAAAAAAAAAAAAAAAAAAAAAAAAAAAAACTCACAAAA